AACAATATAATATGTTTATATGATTGGATATATATTGTGTACTTGATGCAAATTGGCATACACATTGACTTCCCTAACCTGACAACTTAGCAGTCGATATGGGTGCGTTTGGAGTTTAGACATTTTAATATGTTGTTCAGCTTCCGAACCAAATAAAGAAAACACGAGCAAGTAGATGCGCACAATTTGAGATAAATCTACCATAACTAGATTCATAATCCAAACATGGAACCTTGAAGTATTCTACCTTTGCAAGCTTCTTTCGCCGCCGCAAGACCGACCAAGAAATGTTTTTTTTAGCAGATTATAGTTGGAATGAGTTCCTTCAGTGAAGAGTTGTTTTACTACGTGTATACGCTTTTTAGTATGTGAATTTTTTCTTAGGCAATGCTTTGAACAACAAAATAATTTTGGTTCTAACTAGAATACTTTTGGCGTTAAAGCTATTGGATAGCGCTTATGAAACTATGCAGTTTTTTGTTGTCAGTGAAAAATGTTTTAGAAGCAGTCGTATTAAGAAAATCAGCCTCTGAAACCACCTAGACAAGTTATTTAAGCTCAAGGATTAGGAAATATAATCCTGATACGTATCTATCATCACTGATCTAAAATCAAAAGGGTTGATCCAGAACAGGCCCCCCAAAATTAGGATAGGATGATAATCACAGATTCACAAGTTTGTGGTCGATTTGATATAGGTTTTGCTCAATCTCGATCTAGGATGTGCTAGAGTAGATAGAAACAGCTAATACTTGTAAAATAGCTAGATTAAGAGGTTAAGAAATGAATCAAGGAGTAAAGCAGGAGTGAAAAAAAGTAATTATGAAGCCGAAAAATTGTTCAGATTTTTACCAATCACGGAGTAAAGCAACGAATCAAGGAGCAATTTTTCAGTGGATCACGCTCTTCTGGCCAGTTGCTTGCTCCATTTTGTGATATGAGAAAGAAAATGAAAGAAATTGATTAAGAAATGAATGAAAAAGGAAAGGATATGGGTTTTGATTCCTCTCTTCCTTTCCTTCTCCTCTATTAATACTATGTTGAACAGCTTTGAGCGCTTTGTTTTCCGAGTGCCTCTGCCATCTGTGTTGTATATGCCAAGTTCAAGCAACCACATGGCATGACCTCGAAACTATATTTCGCCGCTGTGTAACACACTCGGTGAGACTCATTTAATTGGAGTGTCCGAAGGGCCTTTTTAACTTTATAGTTTACTTTTCTTGACTATAGGTGTTCGTAATTAAATTTCTTACTTTAAATATCGGTTGATATTCTGGCTATCATTGGGCTAAATAATTTTCACTAGCTACCTCCAAAAGCTAACCTAACCACAATGTAGAAAAAAACTATTAGATTAGGATTGTCTTTATGTCAAAGCAAACGCATAAGGAAAACAGATTTTGTGTTATCTCCGGTTTGTATCAAAACACAACATAAAATTTGTGAAATTGGAAGATTTAAAAAGGGTAGATTTCACTAACCCCTTGAACTTGAACTTTGGGTGATTTTGTACTTTATAAATTAGCGTCCCTTCCTTCTTGATGTACTAAGAAACAAATGGCACCTCTTAATCAATTAAGGATGCTTAAACCCAATGCTTAGACCATTAGGCCAAGCATCTTAAGGCGTGTAAGCTTGTTTTTTTAGAACTTTGGCACATTCAACAACAACAAAGCCTTTATCCTAGATTTTTGAGTCCGCTATATGAATCTTATTCTACCATTTAGTTCTATTCAGGGCTACCTCCTCTTTTTTAAGTTTACTATTATCATATCTTTATTGAATACTTCCAACCAAGTTATCTTAGATCTACCTCTAGTCCTCCTTACTATGTTAATTATGTCTTATCACCTCTTCTTGGTAGTACGTTTATGGCACTGATAGCAAAACCATCTCAATTGATGTTCTAGAAAATTATCCTCAATAGGAGCAACCCCTGACCTCCTATAAATGCATTCATCTCTTATCTCTTATCTCTAAGTGTATACCCACACATTCATTGTAGCATTTTCATTTCTGGTCCATTCAAAATTTGGCAGCATGCGATAGAAAATTTCATACTTCTAGTTAATAGGTTAAAAATATTACATATTGATAGTCAGGAAATATCTATAGGTAATCATTTTGCTATTTACGATAAATCATACATTAAGATTATGAGATCGAGAATGATATGATTCATCAAATGATTCAAATCAAGTATGGATAGTTGAAGTGGAGCAATGCTTCTAGAATCTTGTCTGATCATAGAATATCTCCGGAATTGAAGATTTTTTTTTTTTTGAGAATGATATGTTGGGGAATTAAGAAACGTGTGCAAAAAATGAGTGTAATAGAAATGATAATCCTTTGATTGATGAGGGGATATACATTAGGAGATGGGATAAGGAATGAGTGCATTTATAGGAACTTAAAGATTACTCCTATTGAGAATTAAATGAAAGAAAATTGTTTGAGATGGTTTGGCCATGTGCTGCTATGGTCATTCAATGCACCAATTAGTGGAAGTGATAAGATTATAATTAATACAGAAAGTTGGACTGGAGGTAGGTCTTTGAGAACTTGCTTAAGGATGTGAAGAAGGATATAATCGTTATTAATTTGTTGAAGGAGATAGCCCTCATCATATAACAGATTGGAAGTAGCAGACCAAAAAATTTGGGATATGGGCTTCGTTGTTGTTATTGTCTATCTGGAAGTGTTTTATATTGGTGGCCTACATTATGGGTTTTCGACTGCATGAGTTTTGTGGTTATTTAAGGTAATGTGCAATTTAGTTCCCTCTTATTATATTATACTTCGTTACAAAGTTCATAACAATTTCACTTCACGAAGTTTATGTGCAATTTATTTCACTCTTGTTATGCTGTAGTTGGACACAAACTTATACCAATTTCACTTCATGGTACTTCTGTTCTGATGTCTTCTCTGTAGATAGACGATGAATTTCGTCAACGTATAGTTACAATGGGTTCTCCCCCCACCCCCCCAAAAAAAAAGAAGAAAGAAAGAAAGCCTTTTTTTTAGTTTACCTGGTATACTATTTCCCTGTAGGGAGCTATGCGTTATATTTGTTTGTAGACAATCAGTACTGTGCTGCTAGGGGCTATCTTGGAGTAAAATTTAGGAAAGTATGGTATGATCTTTGAACTATTTATTGGATGACCATTAGCTTGTGCAACATGATTATTTATTGTTTTTGTCAAATTTTGTGTGGTCGGGTTAGAAAAGAATCAACTCAAATTGTCATCTTAGGAATCTGGTTTCTCATAAATGTTTTCGGGTATGCTCCAAATTCAGCAACTGCACATTTATCTGTTATGCATTTTTCCCCCTACTGAAATAAAATGGGCTCTTAAATATCAGGTCTTCTGATGTTTTCTCCCTTATGTGTTTCATTTTCTATTTTTTTCTGTTACATCTAGAGATAAGCATGGCCCTTCTTATGGATTTCAACAATCACAAGCTCATCCCCATGAAATTATGATGGAGGTCATTAATGTTTTTCAAGAAAGTTTGGTCCCTATACTGTGACATCAGACATGTAGATGGTTACTTCGAGACATCGGCATTCAGAAGATATGGTCGATGGCCATATGCATGTAACTCCTGGCCTTGGTTATGAATCTGCAATTCTGGAAAGTGATGTAGTTGGAAAGTCTGTTAACGTAGTCAAGTTTGAACTTCAGATAAGATTCCTTTGTTTTCTTATCTGGCCATGATTTTTATAAGGGTAATGTTGATATGTGATATGTATTTCTGCAAAGAATTGTTGCAGCTAAATGATCCAATTGTTTTTGGACCATCATTATCCATTTATCCTTTAAATATAACTGTTTTTACTGTCTGCTAGATAACCTACTCCAAATCACTACTACTTCATTCTTGCGATATGTAATAGTACCTCAAATTTTTTAATGATAGAATTGTCCAGTAATTTCTTTGTATGAGTGTGCAATGTCAAAGAAATGACAACAGCTATAGGGAAGGTCCAAGGAACTTTCTTGACATGTTTAATTCAACTGAAGACATAATCCAATGATTAATTGTCATTATCCATAAACATTACCTACTGAAGACATAATGTTTAATTGGGTATAGCTGTGAATATGTTCTTAATATTGTTTGATTAAAAGGCACAGTAATTTATTGGTATGGTCAAAATCCAAAAAATGGTAACTGCTGTAATGAGGAACTTTCTGTACCTTCCTTATACTGATTATTACCTCTTATGCATCATCACCATTCATATTGGTTTATTCTGCTTAAAATTGGGATTATGATAATTTTCTCATGTGCTTTATTGCACTCAAAAGTCGCATCATTGGTTGTTTCTTCTTCACAGTCATAATATTCTATCTTGTAACTATAATTACCAACATAATGGTTGCCTTTTGCATTTTCCTTGACCCAAATAATCTAAGAAAGGCAACCGGTAATAACATGTAGGTAGTTTCAATCATGAGATTTAAAACTGAAATTTCCACTTCAATTCAAAGCTTGCTATTTTTCTATGTTTCGTGTTACTGAACCCCGGACAGGGATGCCTTTGCTTTCCAACTTGCTTACTGCCTATGTTAACTTACCATATTCTTTTTTTCCTCGAAAAGCCTCTCTGCTGTAGCTATTGTGGGAATATTATTGAAGAATCTGGAGGTTGATTTACTATCCACATTGCCCCATGTTTAAGCACGACATCATACTTTTTCATTTCTTATCTTTCAGATGACTTGTTGCGTTCCTCTGGAGAATGCTAATTATCGAATGATAAACAAGGGAACTACTGGTTTACAAAGAAATTATGATTTTCTGGAACAGGGATGCTTTCTAAGTTTCTCTATGCAATTTAATTCTTAAGATATCAGTGACTGTTGCCGACAATTCTTAGAATGGTAAGATTTGATCCTTAATTTTTGGTCTGGTTGTTACTTTCAGATGCATGTTTATTTTCCATTGATCCGATCTTTATCTTGAAATTCTTGTAGGATGTGTGCATTCTGAATTGTCGAAGAGTGAGAGGCTTGCTATCCTCCTTTTTGTGGTAGGTTGAGTTATAGATATAATGTCTTCTTTAAGGCTATTTAGTTATTAACAACATTCACAATATAATGACTTCTTTAGATACAAATATATGTTTGATGTATAAAGATATTTGTGTATATATACATGATTCCTTTTTTGTTATTCATTGCATACCATCTGAGTCAAGATAAATCGTAAAGGGTTAATATTTTTACTTTTATCTGAGGATGCAATCAGGTCACTCGCCATTATCAAGGTGTTAGGTTTTAGGGTGAGCAATTCATTGTTCTCAACCATTTAGTTAGTTAATGCACACCATCAAAATCTTGACATATTCAGTTTCTAGTTAATCTTTCGGCAATTAGTTCCTCGTCCTTAGTTTCTTTATTGTTTTATATAGGGTGCTTGAAATTCAATGTCAATCTTCTATCTTGTCGGTATGTTACAACCTTCAATTATATGGCTTTTTTCTTTTGGAAACCATTCAACTAGAAGTGGAAGTCTTTTCTTCGGTTTGAATTAGAATGCCAATAAGGTTAGCAGTTTGGATTATTAGATCTATCTTCTTTTTATTTTTTTAAGGATTTAAGGTATTCGTTCAGGATCATTATGGACTAATTAAATGAGGGAAATTCTATTGGAATTGACCCAACCCTGGCATTCACTGTACAGCTAAAAGATTTGGAGAGCACAAATTCAGCACTTACGGATGCATGTTGAGAAGATGAACGCAAAAGTATCTAACCAGCTACATGAGTTGAGGTTTGTGTTTACAGAGATGGCTTTGCCTTTTTAATTGCATTTACACGCAGAAAAAAGTTCTCTCTTTCTATACATCTAAGGAGAATCAGGAGTAATATAATTCTTATCTAAAAATATGAACTAATTTAATCGTTTGTTACTCAGAATAAGATTACTAGTTTAATCTTGTTTTTCTTTTCCCCCCCTGACTTCCTCTTTGTGGGAACTTTTATTAAACTTATAATACGGTATTTTCTCTGGGATCTTTCTAGGAGAAGAGAACTATGGCATGGCATCAATAAGGATTAGGGATGGATCCAAATTTTTATGGTGTTACGTATACAATTATACATATAAATTAGTATTTATATAACATAAACTCTACCTGTATGAAAACTTATTCAGAAGGATCTTAAACAAATGGTATTTTTCATTATCATTTTCACATCAATACACGAGTATTTTCATTTCTATCACAAATGTTCAACAAGATCATACTAAGGTACTGTTTGGCAACCAAAAAAAGTGTCTTATCTAAGAGCTTGTGTCTTATTGACTTGGTCAATAAGCTAGTAGAGCTGTTTGGTGACCAAAAATAGGAGGAGATTATTTTGGAGATTGTGTCTTTTGCAAGTAGCTTTTGGAAAGCTACCTCAAGTAGCGTTTGTCTTTGGGAAGGAGCTGCCAATTTTTTTCTTCCGTTTTTACCCCTAATAATTCTAATTTTATATCAATAATATTGCATGTCCTTTATAGTCATTTAACAAATTTAAGCTAGTTGTACAGCTACTTTTACCAAACAGCTCTAGTCAATCAGCTAGCTACACAGTTAACAGCTTTCAGCTACAATTTCACAGCTTTTAGCTAGCTTAACAGCTTTCAGCTATAATCTCGCAGCTTTCAGCTAGTTTTGCCAAACAGAGCCTAAGTTTCAACAATAGTCCTTCATAGTTGTATATAGCCCCCAACTTTTTGGGGGCCATCTATATAAATTTATATATCTCTTTATAAATAATTTTACTCAGGCAAAGGCACCAAAAACCCTCTAGATATATCCATGTTCGATAAGAGATCAATTTGACAACCAAGGGTCATTTGGTTGAAAGTAAATAGATTTGTAGTAGCAAATGTTGGACTCAGATTTCTACTATTATTGGAAAGACCGTGCATCCTCTTAGAACCTTCTGAACCACTAAGTTGTGGGGCAAATTAACAATTGCCCCCTTATTTAGCACATGAGCCGTAGAACGATCCGCTCGCATGCGGGCGGTTCTGATAGGGATAGCACTCCATCGGAAATGCTAGGCGGAGTAATATTAATGTTATCTATCATCTTCATGGAGCATCATACTCTTTTACCTTGTCGAGCGGGCAGTTCTGATAGGATGAGTACTCCCTTGAAAATACTAGCCGGAGTAATATTGATGTTATCTCTCATCTCTGTGGAGTACACTATTCTTTTACCTTGTCCACACGGCATCACATCGATGAAAACAGAGATCCTTTTCTTGCGCTTTCAGGGTTTTGACCTTTGCCGACTCAAATGTGTTCTTTGACTAATGCGCTTCAATTTTGTAGGGACCCAAAGTATTTACTCTGTTTCCGCTGCTGCCATTCTCTTGGGCTCCACCTAAATTTATACCACCACGCCAGAAGATTTTTGACCCAACGTACCGATCCAGCTTGCAAGTGTTCTCGCTTTCTAATTGGGAGCATGCACGTGGCAAACATACTCCTAAAATGATGTGATGCGTATATTTTATTTTATTTATTTCAATTTTCAGTTTACTATTTCAATTGAAAAGTACAAAGCTGAGATGAATATGCTTTGAATTTGGCGATGTGCTTCCCTTGCGCCTTACAGTTGTTCTACTGTTGTGTTGATTACTCTTCCTTTGATTGAGCATGGCGGATTTATGAGCATGTGGCAACCGCATTCTCACTTCTCAGTGCCGTACGTGAACTGTCTTCTTTCCTTTTTTACCCCCCTATATAAAAACTATTTTCATGACCATCTTGTTTCATTTGTTTGAGGGGAAAAAATGGTTAGGCGCTTCAAGTTTCAAACATATGGTGCGTCTAATTTCTTATGAGCTTGGTAATAAACTTTTAATATTTGCATGAATAGTAGTCGCTAAACAAGTGGATTACATTGAGAAGCGTTGTTTAAGTACGATCCCTTGAATCATACGGGTATCAAATTATCGGATGTGGCTAAGGGGCGTCCCCTGCGCACGGCCTCGGGTATTTCAGGAAATTAAATTCCTACGGATGCTTTGCAAGAGAGTCAAACTTCAGACTTTGGTGTACTGCTCATAGGCAACTTATCTACTGACCTGGACCCTCCTGGGTACCTGTGTTTAATAAGATTCCTGATAAGTGGTGTCCTTCATTCTACATGGGAAAAAAAAATTAGCGGAGACACCATTTTTTAAACAATGATTACGGATTTCTAGATCTCTTGTTAATTAGAATAATGTCTTGATCATTACACCCATCTTTTCTGGCATTGTTCACTTTCCTTTTTTTTTTTTTTTTTTTTAGAAAATGTGTCTAAAGCGTACCTCATCATGAACGCGGCTTAATCTGGAGAGAAGAAGGGCGTCTTGGTAAATGCACGAACGGTTTCCAGCTATAATGAAAAAGAACAGAGGATTAAAATTAAGCATTTTATTCAACGAAAAAGTTTTTTTATTTGTTTCCTTTGACCACGAAGAATTTATAGGCGAAACCTTAGATGACAAATTATTAGCTGAATGATGCTGATGACGTTCAAACGTCCTTCTTCGAACAAGTTGCATGCCCTACTTGATAAGTCTCATCCTAGTATTTCATTGTTTTTAGTTTCATGACAAAAAAAAACTTTTTTTTCTTCCAACGACAAAAAAACTGTTGAACTTTTCAAAAGTGATGGTTACGCTATAATTTGATCATAGATGAAGCAATAACATTCGGCCAAGCCTGACGAATCATGACCTTGGACATTTCACGAATATAACCTTCTGCTTGATCGAGTTATGGGTGAAACGCTACCATTAACTTTCTTCCAATTTTTAAGAAGACCTTAGATAGTTACTAGATAAGAATATCAATAGAGCAAATAAGAAATACGATTAATTACACTCTGACACTAAAAGAGATGTGACGTAATTAGTTCTTATGCACGTGCAATGCACGTTGTTAAATATTAAAATAATTTATTTTTTTATGTATTTTATTACTATAAATAAGTCAGATTCATTTTGAGTTCAAATATGTAAAACTGGATTATTAGATTTGCTATAATTTTTATTTAAATATTATAAAAGAATAGATGTAATGGAATTTTGTGTTAAACTGGGATCAATATATTTTTATATACTTGCATACATAACATTATTTTTTTAAATTCGTATAAATCAAACTTCATGTAACATATTTGTTTATCGGATCAAATCATCGATCTCTAATTTGTTTATCTTAGTCATTAAACGTAATGTTAAGTTAGAAAAAAATACAATAATATATTGTTGATGTGTCAATAAAAATATAACCAAATACTTAATATTAAGATGGTATGTATAAGCTCAGCACAGAGCACATACTTTTCACAAGACTGCAAGACATCGTAAGTATTGATGGACTTAAAATAAAAAATAAAAGCTAAAGATTAATGATGACTCTAATGATTTTATATGACAAAATCATTCACATAAGCATATTTAAAATTTTGTATGAAAATCTCTTCTAAAGATTCCTAATTTTACTCAAAAAATTAAGGTTTACTATAAAATATTCAAAAAATATTATCCTTTATTCCTTCTTTTTTCATATTTAATTCAGACGATATCAATCCTTCTTCATCTTTATCTTTTTTCTGGGTAATTTTATAGTAGTGTCTTCATCGTCTACATCAATTGTGATGTCAGTTTGGTATATGATAAAGAGCAAAAGATGAGACAAAAGTCCAGAAATATATTAGGATATACTTGGATTAATCAAATTATATTATTAGTCATAATTGATATGCATCAAAGATAAAATGTGTTGACAATCTTAAATTATAAAACAGACAATATAGGCCCTCAAAATAATTTTTTTAATGCAAGCAACCCTCAAGATTAATTTTAAAAATATCTTGGGGCCAGGAATAAACAACTACAAGTTTGCAGTGGAAGCTAGGGGAACGTAATATATTCTTAAGAATTATTAATCTTTACTTAATTTGTTTATAATGAGAGGATCTCATTATTAACTAACTACAATGCCTACTACATATGCCTACTACATTATTTTTTATTAGGCGTTAAGGGTAGGCAGAGGACTTAGGTGAGTCCTCATCACAATGAATGTTATATAATTAAAATACAAAGGAAAAAAGGAGGGTTGATCAATGGTGTAGTTGGTGAGGGGGCAACTCTAGCAGCTTAATTTGGGTATGTGGATATATTATAGATGGAGAAGGAGAATGGTGGTTTTGAAAACAGTGGATGTGTGAGGGTAATTAATATGGTTTTTGTTTGTGTGGTTTTCTTCGTTCATTTTCAAGATATCTTTGGTCTTGTGGATACTACTCGGTTCACAGAATCGAGTAGTATGTTGGGATTGTGTCTTTGATTCTTTATATAACTTCATGAGAATTAGATAGGTTGGAGATTTATCATGATTAGGAAATTGGATCTCATCATAATTGGGAGTTTGAATCCTATTCTAGTTAGAAAGTTAGGCTAGAGATAGAGTTTTAGTTTCCATATATATATATATTCTTCTATTATTGGAGGAAAACCCAAGAGGAGAGGAGATAGCCAATATTCTTATAATTTAGAGTTAGCAGAGGGCGTAGCCCGACTCAAGAATATTGTGCAAGATGCGAGAGTTTCATAGTCTTTATCTGTGCTGAAGATTACAATATTGGGAGAGAGTTTCACAGTCGTCTTTGTCCGTCCAAAAGATTGTAATGAATGGATTTTGGAGAGAATATGAGAGTTGATTATGTATATGAGGTTGAGAGGTTGAGAGACGAGAGTGGAGTGGTTCCTCTCATAGTTCTCCCAGATACATAGTGGATTTCTCGTACTGTTACCTCGTGGATGTAGGTCGAAATTGGTCAACCGAGCCACGTAGATCTCGGTGTTTTTTCTTCTTGATTATGGTTGTTTTCTATCTTGTTGGTTGTGGGTTGGCTTCCGAGTTGCAGAGGTCGTAGTACGCGGAGGGACTGAAAATCCTAACATATTATCCATGTAATTATATCATACCTAATCATACCGAAATGTAGTTCATGATATGTGATAGGAAGATCACAAATTAAAGAGGATATCATCCACTACTCTCAAATGTAAGAAAAATGTCTTAAGGACCCAAAATATAGGACCAAGTGAGGGAACATGTGAGATGTCCCCTCCCTATTGCATAATGACAGCTCATTATGCATTAGGAGGGGGGCATCTCACATGTCCCCTCTAATGGTCCCATATTTTGGGTCCCTGTAGCAACGCTCCAACGGTATTGACTTTTTTCCATGTTCAGACCTTTATTATAGTTATGTACTCTCACTTAACATTATGAACTTATTAAGGTAAAAAGTTAAGTCCTACTAAACAAAAATCCATGTCACGCTTTCAGTTTGATTGTACTTGATATTCTCCATATTTTATTTCATTTTCTTATTTGGTCCTCGAATGGATATGATACGAAAATCATTTTCTTTTTTCCTCTTTTTTAACCAGGTAAGTCGCCATTAATTCACTGGCTTACTAAAAAAATTAGATAAAGAATAATGATGAGTTACTGTAGGTAATATTTAAATGTTTACCGTGTATCAAACCGGGTAAACATTTAAAGAATTTTGAGTTTGGCCTCAACAGTAGTCTTTTTTTTTATAAATAGAATAACAGGATCCATCTTATTTTCAGGGGGAAAAAAGGAAAATTCATAACTGTAGTAGTATAATTCAAAATAGGTTCATAAAGGTTTTAAATCTTGATCCGCAGGAAACCAGCTAAGGAACATTTACATTTACCCGCCTCTCTTTCTACATGACATCAAACTAAGCGTCAAAAAACCCACGTTAATTGTTAAATCAAGACGATATATTAAAATGTCCTCATTTTTTATAGTTCATCTCAATTTATAAAATAAAATTAAGTTAGCTTCATTCCTTCTAATTAGAACAAAAGAACTAATGTCACACAATTATTGCAACTGACTTAATTAATTGTCTCCATGAAACATTAAACAGCGCCAGGGGGCCCAAAAAGGTCACGAATGGCATTAATTAAGATCATGATGTTGATATGATTAATTAATCTACAAATGAAGTCTTACGCCTTTGCCAGATATGATTGGCATAGATCTAGAGAATTAAGTTGGAATAATCAAGAAGATTACCCCTTGACTCACATGATACCTTGCATATAATAATTAAGAGGCTACGTTAATGTGTCATACTTTATTAAATAAAAAAATTTTGATTCATGTTCTTCTAGGTCAGTAACTAACCTAATGATGTACGATGTGAAGGTTGAAATATTTTAAATTTTAATGTCTTAACTGAATATTTTCATATTGAAACTCTTAAAGTGAAGAACATGCATGTAGTAGTCTCACAACTTGCAAGATAGAGTTAAAAGATAAAACATAATTCTCTTATAAAAAGAATTCTACAGCTTAATTAATTAAAACAATTTATTAATTTGTTTTACAAATAACCAAACAAATGTTTTATATCAAAATCTCATTGTTGCAGGCTTGCAGTCCAACAAATATATAGAATACATACAATTTGAAACTTTACAGAGATTGGCAGTCCCGACCTTTCAAACTATGAATTGAACAAATGAAGGTGTCAAATTAAAATTAACCTTTTATATTCAAAGGGATCAATCACACTTAAACATCTTATATTT